TCTTAAGAGCCGATACTCAAGAGGTCCAGAGGATCGCAAGAAAAGGGATTCCTTCTTTCCAGGCAGAAGCAAAGGAACAGCACATTAGATTGGAAATATTTGTAGAGCAGCCGCTGAGATGTTACAGAGAGAAGTCACAGCCTGCTCTGCTCTGGGCAAAACTCTGGGGCCAGATTGGGTCTTGTATTAGATAAACAACGCATTCTGTCTTATTGGTTAACCTAGTTCTTGATTTCTGAGTATTTCCTCAGTGGACTCAGAACACTCTGAAGATTAAAATTAGCGTACTGATAGAGGCAAATTATGTTGTGTACCACAGAGTTGAAGCTGACCCATAGATGACTCTTTAGTGGGTTTTCAGAGGCAGTAAATCGCAAGGGAGATGATTGTCCATCTTTCTCCTACAGAGCAGCTGGTGTGTTTGAACTGTGTACCTCTGCTGCACAATTTCTTACCATGAAGACTGTAGAGCTCAAATTATAGGTCAGTAAATTTCTAGAGGTTTAATGAATAGAACAGAGTGATCCTCAGTTGGGCTTTCCTCTATTCCCAATTTACTCCATCTTGTAACTCTCAACTAATTAGATCATCAAAGACAAATAGCCCAAGGGAAGTATTACTCAGTCATTCTCATTGTAGTAAAAAGTTCTCTGTGCTCCAAAGATTCCATGCTAGTTTCTTAACAAAAACTCCCTAATGTGGTTCCATTGAGGGCCACTCTTTTTTCTCTGCTCATCACTCTAAACATTCTAGTTTGCAGAAAACACTGAAAATGCCAAGTTCTTTCCTGTTGGCTTAACTTTCCCCCCATACTATTGTCAAACTTAACTTGCTAAAAAGCAAGGATATTAGTTTGGAGACTAAGATGCATCTGACCCAGACCACAGTATTTTCAATTGCCTCATAAGCATGGTGGCCCAGTGGTAGGTAAGGAGTTGTGCTGTCAACACAAAGGCAAGCGGTTTGAGTCTATCAGCAGCTCCACAGGAGAAAGATGGGCAATCTCCTCTAGTATTACTTACATGCTCTGAAAACCCACTGGAGAGTCAGCTCTGAGTCAGTTGTGACTTGATGGCCCCCCATCACATGACTAATATGCATGGTGAAAGTTGAACAATGAATAAGGAAGGCTGAGGAAGAACTGATGCCTTCGAATTGTGGCGTTGGCAAGAGATAACAAATGCACCACGGACTGCTGAAAGAACACAAAAGTTTGTCTTGAAAGAAGTGCTCCTTAGAAGAAAGCAAGGATGGTAAGACTTCATTCCCAGACTCCGAGTCATTAAGAAAGAGGAAGACCCTGCGTGAGATGGAACAAGATAGTGGCGGCAACAATGGGCTCCAACACAGCAGAGATTGTGTCAGTGATACAAGATCTGATGGGATTCGTCCATGGTACCCAGGGAAGCTATGATTGGGAGCTGAATGACAGCAGTCGACATTTTCTTACTTCAAATGTGTTCACTCACTTCTCCTCTTTGCTTTATAAAATCTCACTCCTCCATAAGATGTACTTCTCTAGTTCTTGCCTGTGTTTTCTCAGTGTTGTACACCCATTATCATTCATAGGATGTTTATCAGAAGGTGCTGTTGTACTTTTTTCCCTCTCTATCATTCAATTTTCTGTGTGCATCCTTTCCAACCTGTTTAAATATTTTTAATATTTAATAGTCAATTCTCATATATCAGTTATTTTTATATTTGATAGTCAATGAGGAGCTCACCTCACAGGCAATGCCTTCATTCTACTGCTGGCCAATAAGCTTGTGTCAATGATTTTCCTATTACATGCAAACCTCAGAGATATTTCAAGTTGGGTTCCAGATCAGAGTAATAAAGCAAATATTGCAATAAAGCAAGTCACATGAATGATTTGGTTTCCCAAGCGCATATAAAAGTTATTTTTATACTACATTAAATATGTAATGGCATTATAAGAAAGCCTGAAATATGGAGAGAATTATCAAAATGTGACAGAGACATGAAATGAGCAAATGTTACAAGAAAAATAATTGTGCTGTTGTTATGTGCCCTCCAGTTGCCTGTGACCCATAGTGACCCTATGTACAGCAGCTCTGAAACCTGCCCTGTCCTGAGAGCCTCACTGACTCCGACATAACCCCCATTACCCTAGTCACTGTATCAGTCCACCTCATCTGGGGTCTGCCTTTCCTGCGCTGTCCCTCCACCCTTCCAACCATGATGTCCTTCTTCAAGGACTGGTCTCTCCTGGCCACGTGCCCAAAGTAAGTGAGACGGCGCTTCAAATCCTAGCCTCCAAGGAGAAACTTGATTTCACTCTCTCCAAGACCGACCTATTTGTTTTCTTGACAGTCCATGGTATGTTCAAGACTCAACACAGACTTGGCATAAATCTTCAATTTAAAACAAAAAGTTAAACAATGCAGCATTTGTAAAGCACAAGAAAATTAAGTGCATTTAAATAAGGTGTGGCTGTATTAGAAGCCAAATCTGTTTTTCTGATAGGTGGACTCTTTGATTCTCTTCTTTACCACATTATTGTGTTATTATTACATGCCGTCAGGTCAAAACCAACTCACAGCTGACCCTCTGGTGGGTTTCCTAAGACTATAAACTGCACAGGAAGTGCTTGTCAATCTTTCTCCTTCAGAGAAGCTAGTAGATTTCAACCAGGTGCCTTTGGGTTGGCAATGCAATGTTGCCTAAAATTCCTTCAGATGGAAGTAAGGTTTTCTATTCTACAATGAAAGTGAATCTTGAATTCATTTTTAAAGAGTAGACAGTAGAGAGTGGAAAAAATAGACAGGAAATTACTTCTGATGTGCAGATGACTGAAAAGAGCAGGAATGTGTTTCCTAGCATCACTAATGGCAAGACGTTGTCTCCTCTTCTTTGGCCATGTTATCAGGAGGGGCCTGTCCCTAGGAAAGGACATCCTGCTTGGAAAAGGAGAGGGTCAGCAGAAGAGAGGAAGATAGTTAATGAGGTGCGTTGATACAGTGACCACAACAATGGGTTTAAGCACAGCAGAGATTGAGGGTGGTGCAGAACTGGGCAGGGCTTCATTCTGCTCTACACAGACCTGAGGTGAGTTGGAGCTGACTCGACACAGAATTCAACAATAAGGAAGAATAGCCAAGATACCAGGAACATAAAACCACCACCAGCGCTTAGTCATTCTGACTCAACAACCCTATGGAACAGAGTAGAAGTGCCTCCATAGGGTTTTTTTGAGGCTGTACGTGTTTGTGGGATCATACTAGTTTATCTTTCTTCTGTGGAGTAGATGCTAGGTTAAAACTGTTGACCTTAAGGCTGGTAGCACCACACTTAATTCACTCTACACCACCAGGGTTCCTGCACCAAGAAGAACATAAGGATAAAAAGAACCAGAATACTAGGAAGAGCATTAGGCTAGAATATAAGAGATTAGTCCCAGTGTGACTGATAATCTGAGTCATGGTTTTCTCATGTGGAAAAGGAATCATTTACATGAACAGTTTTACTTATTACTGTAAGTGCACAATTTTGCCTGGAAGTGGTCCTGCTCACCTGGGGCCGACTTAAGTCTTTACTTTGGCTTGAATTTCTTAGTTCTGGGTGGGCAAAGGGTCACACACGCATCAATGGACTACGACCTCCTGTATGGATGCTCCGGCCGCCACCCACTACCACACCAATCAATGAACCCTTTTTTTTTGGTCCCACCTGGTTTGAACTTTCATTCCCTGCTTAGAAACCTTGCTTCATGGGGGCTATTTATGGTATTAGTGCCATAAATCAAGGATGCAAGTAACACATTTTATTATGAGTTTATTATATATTCTCTTTTCCTGGAGATTTGCAAGTAAAATATTGCATAAGAACCAACTCTTTATTTATCCTAAGTTCCACCCTACAGAACCAGGTCATATTACATTTACTTGATGCACAAGGCCCAATGACTCAATAAATACTTTATAAAAATAATGCCGTTTCTTTCCTTTATTAAACATAAAAAATTAGGATTTTCCAGACTTTAACCCTCTTCCTTTTTATAGTATTTACTGGTAATATACTGGTGAAGAAAAAAATTACACAGATGATATTAAAAATAAAATCGATGAAGTGTGGGTCTGTATTCTTTTCTGTTTCTTTCGAAAAGTGCTAGTCCCTGTTTGTATGTCTGAACTTTCCATTTTCTTCAAAATATACTAAGACACAAACAGAAAGTCTTCCACTCATGGAGTCTCTTAGTAGAATCACAGCACTACACAAATATTGCTTTTTTATTCTAAAGCTTTTTGATATGGTTACAAAATCCAGACCTCAGCTTTGCCCTTTAAATGCTGCTTTCCCCCCATATTACACCCAGTTTGAGGCAAGGGTATTTTAGAGGGCTGAGACTTCAGCAAAGTGCTTTGTGTATGACTAAATAATATTTGGTTTATGATGACCTTTTTTTAATTGTTTTGCTATAGTCCACTAAGTTATTTTTACTTTAAAATAAATCATTTTAAAATTCCCTTTCTCATCCACTTCCCTAAGCCTCTTCTTTTCTGTCCTCATAGAGAATTGATTAAATAAGTTCACACCAGCAACTCCAGAGAAATGGTTATACTTAAGTCACATTCATATTAAATAAGTTATATATATAAAAAACACCAGCTTATTATAATGTTTACACTTTCAGTATTTTTCTCCATTTACCTCTCCTGGAAATACTGGATTGGGTGTGATTTCAGTCCTCCCCACTATCCCTTCCGCGTCCTTCTGACTGCACCCGCCTGTGTTACCCCTAAAGGGAGAGTCAAGAGGTGTGTAGGCGTTGATGATGGCAAATGTGGCTTCAGATGGCAGTCACCTGGGCCTGGTGCATACCTCCTGTGTAACCGATGAAGATATTCATGTACTATGTACAAATATACACATATGCAGGTGACGAGGACTCTTCTCCAGGCAGACAGATCAGCGCAGAGCATCTGCGTCACAGATGCCAGAGATGGTGCCTCATTTCTTTCTCCCTTCTCCCCAGTCTCTTAATATTCTCTAGCTTCTTGGAATTGCTTGAAGTAATCTTCGTCTGAAGGACTCTCTGTGCACTTCTGTCCATTGTTGGGTGGTCGAGCCTCGTTATACCTGCTCCAGTCACCTTTGCAGATAATCCAGGGCAGAATGTCCACTTTATAGTGGAGCTCCGCTGAGAACTCGGTGCTGATGAGGTTGGGCGTCCCAGCCCCTTTCCCCCTCGTGATGAGCTGCATGTTGTCGCCATAGCAACAGTGCTGGGCAGCCAGTGTGGTGCTCTCGAGGGACAGCATGGATCGGATGCAGTACCGTGCTGTGGGCTTGTAGATCTCCAACTTCTCCTTGGGGCCGCTGGCATCTTTCCAGCGGAAGTCCTTGTGCTTGATGCGGTCGAAGATGTCTGCTGTGCTGTAGGCTACTTCGGTGGGATAGGAGCAGGGGCAGCTGGGAAGGTCGTTGATGACCTTGTGCATGTACTTCTTCAAGAACTCACTTTTGCAGCTCATCCAGCGCTCACAGCTGTCCGTGTCTGAAAAGGCCATAGAGAAACTCTCTCATCACAGGCAAGATTAGACGGTGTTAAAATCAACCACTCCCTCCTGCAGCCCCAGGCCCTAGCAGCTGTCTGCAAGACCTAAGTCATGAAATGTCACTCTTTTTTGCCCTTGGACTTCAGAGTTTGTCCACAGGCTCCCTTCCTTACTTTATTATGACATATTTTTAAATACTAACAGTAGAGAGAATAAGATCCATACAGTGACTGGCCATACTCCATCATCTAGGTGTAACCATCATGCCTTGTGCTTCAAGTTTTGTCTTTAATTTGGTGAAAACACAAATTATCTCTCCTAAATGTCTAACATACTTTGGACATGTTATAAGAAGAGACCGGTCCTTGGAGAAGGACATCATTCTGGGGAGGGTGGAGGGACAGCGCAGGAGGGGAAGGTCCTCTATGAGGTGGATTGATTCGGTGACTGGGGTTATCGGGATGGGAGTGTCAGAGACAGTGCGATTGGCACAAGACAGAGCAGAGTTTAGGGCTATTGTGCATAGGGTCGCTATGAGTCGCAAGCAACTCGACAGCACATAACAACAACAACAAATGTCACTAGGACAAGAACAAATAAAAGGGACCAATGCCGCTAACAAAATTAACAATAATTCACACGGCCATGCTAAATCTCCTCTCTAAATTAGGGGTAATGTGGCAGAAATGCCTTAGAGAAACATTTGAAGGGCTAAATTTTCTTTTTGCCACCCGGTGGTTTCAAGTAGGGCTAGATTTTTAATGTGTTAATGTTAAGCATTTAAAAACCAATGTTTTTGTTTGTTGTGTACCATAAAGTTGGAATCAACCCACAGCTGACCCTCTGGTGGGTTTTCAGAGGCAGTCAATCACACGGGAGCAGATTAGATTTCTATAAAACTGCTCCATGGAGAAAGGGCAATCTTGTCCTTTTGAAGTCCCTAGTGGTGTAAGTAGTTAAAGCACTTATCTGTTAATCAAAAGGTTTGAGGGTCCACTCAGAGATGCCTCAGAAAAGTAGTATTTGATGATCTACTTGTGCAAAAGTCACTGACTCACAAGAGGTCACAATAATTTGGAGTTGTCCCACTAGCAACTTCTTTCTTTTTCAAACATTCGGCTGGGGGTTACTGACTTGTAGCCCTCAGGCCCTGAACGTGCCTAAAGAGAAGCTGTGTGTGATTATTATCATAGTGAAACAGCCTGGGTTGGTTGCAAATATTTAGAAAGTGAACAATTTCACTTATATGTATGGATTTCTGGTTTCCTTTGAACGACCCAAAGATGTGTCCGCATAGTCCCTACATTCCTCCATCTGAATTACTGGGAAGTGATAGAATGGGAACTATCTTTTGGCTGGAGCAGGCACTACCTTTTGGACAATGGCTCGGCCTCTCCCTTTCACCCCAAAACCTGACTGATCCACTTCATCATGGGCTTTGTTTCATCTGGGGAGTATGAGACCTCTGATTTACTGAATACCTTGGCCAGGCTTCTTTCAGAAGCTGACCCTGAGGTGAAGACGCCAGTGGAGATGGTACTTTGGGAGAAGATTCTGAAAAGATATTGGTAGAGAAGCAGGGGGAGGAGGGAGGGAAGAGGAGGCCATCAACACAAAACTAAATGAAACCAAACCGGATGCAGAGGAATTGGCTCCAGTTCATGGTGGGGCCCCAAGTGTATGAGATTGTAAGAGTGTTTTTAGTGGTTGACGATCCCAGAAACGTGACAGAGAATTGTTGCTGTGAGTTAAAACTGTTGCACAGTCATGGATAGATAACTCAGCCTCACTTCTGAGGGGCCTTGGGAGGGACTTGAACAGCAAGCCTTTGGTTAGTGACACAGTGCATTAACTATCTGTACCACCCGGGGATTAAATAGTCAACCACGGCAAGAACTGGAGCTTAACTCAGTTGGGGAAACAGTGCAGAGAGCACATTCTAGAACTTTCCCACTCAGGGAAGGAGGGCTCTGGATATTTGCCCATGGGCTCTGTCAATAATGGAACAGGAACGCTTTTAGACATGCATTGGATGCATGTCTAAAATGTTGGAAAGAGTACTGAATCTCTTTTGGATTGCCAAAAGAACAAATAGTCTGTCTTGGAGAAAGTGCAGCCAGGGTGTTCCTTGGAAACAAAGATAGTGAAGCTTTGTCTCACATACTTCGGGCATGTTGTTAGGAGTCCCCTGGAGAGGGACATCATGCTTGGAGAGGTGGAGGGTCAGGGTAAGAGAGGATGCTGGATTGACACAGTGACTGCATCAATGGACATCAGAGATATCGAGGATAGTGTAAGACAGGGCAAGGCTCAGATCTGTTGTTCACATAGCTGCTATGTGTCACAGTCCCCTTGACGGCCCATAACAGCAACAACAAATCCCATCTTGGCATTTGCTTCTGAAGGGCCTAAAGGGACACAGGCTTCAATAGCAGAGACAAGGGAGGGTAAAAGGATCGTTGCCGCTTTGTTACGGAGCTCTTCCACGCAGCTTAGGTGTTGAGAAGTCCTAGAGTCTCAATCCTGATACCCCAGGAATGGAACGGCAGGTAAGATCAAGAACAGTCAGAGAATTTGAGCTTCTACACCTTGCTAGCTGATGGATTCAAGGTTAAAGAGAGGAAGAAGGATGTGAGCAGTGCTTTCAGATTCTGATCCTGTGTTTGGAAGGCTTGTGGGACCACAGCCGAAACCATAAAGAGGAGCGAGCTGAAGTTTCTCCAGGAAAATGAGGACGTGAGAGGTGTGGCACCTCCAGTGAGCTCTGAAACACACGGGATAAGGCTTAGTGCTTGGGGTCCTATGCTGTACTGCCTCGGATTGTATTTGAACTTAACCGCTCATTGTTGGCTCTGTAACCTTCAAGTTATTACACCTCACTGCCCGATGCTTCAGTCTTGTCATCTCCAAGTTAGGGATAAAGGTAGAGCCTGTCTGAGAATACTGAGGAGGAATAATCGGAAGAGAACTTTGCAAGTGTGTCCACCATACTGTCAGCTGGCACGATGTCTCAGGCTCTTTTCACTTGAGTCCTTTGGTTCTATGGCTACAACTGCTGACTAAGCAGCCGCTGAGAAATGGAGTTCAGTCCTGGGAAATTGTGTTTGAACATCTCCTTAGAGGGCAGGATCTTCAGGGAGAAGATCTCAGAAGGCGATGAAGACTAGATAATGGTTCTGTACGTCGCTGCAGGGTGCAGGATTTCATGTAGCTACTGGGATCCAGTGACTTCATTATTTTTTTATTGTTTATTTATCAAACTTGTACTATGCTTTCATTATGATAACTCAAACTTGTTGCCATTGACCCAGAACTGACTCGGAGCTCACCCTCCACTGGGGTTCGAGGCTGTTAATTGCACAGTGTGAGACTGTCTGTCTCTCTCTGGAAAAACCGCTGGTGGATTATTTCATGGGGGGGGGCGGTGTATGGTGAGGTGAGGGAAATGGAAAGACTCTGGTCTGAAAAAAATGTACTTGAATTTTGTAAGATGATGATGATGATGATGATGATGATGATAATAATAATAATAATAAAAACCAACCCAGAGAGACACCACCCTTGGGCTCGCAGTGCATTTCCCCAACTAGGGAGCCTATTCATGACAAGTGTTCTCTGAACGTAGACTCACTGATTCTACAATAATCCTACAAGATAGGGGCACCATTACCTCACACTATTTTGCAGATTACAAAACAGAAATGAGTGGGGCTAAGTCAAGTAACCTGATGTGCATCCCAATTTTTCTCATCTCTGCTGGGCATCTTGCATTTGTTCTTCTTATTCTTCCTCCCATTCTCCATGCCCTGAAAGGCTGACTACATGGACTGTGTCAATAGGTTCCCTGACACCAGGCCTCTAGTTGAATTCAGCTGATGGGAGGAGCCAAAGAGGACAGAGGGAGAGAGGATAATGATGCCAGAGTATTGATCCTCTCGGACGGTCCTCCTTCACTGGTTCATAATGACTTGACCATTCTTCTGGGGGCTAAAAAATGGGTCAGCCTCTCCAGACATGTACTGTTCCCACGTTCCAGTGACCCCTTCTTTTCTTAGTTCCTTTAGGCCCTGGTGGCCAGGGCTCCACTGTGGCCATTCTGAGGGTTTTGTATAAATCCTTTTTGACTTCTCTCCACCTTTCTGATAACTTTGTAAACAGCTCAATCATAAAATGCTCCACAGTTACCTATGTTGAGTAAGCCACACCCTTTCCTTCCAGGACTCTGAACCCTTTCCTCTGTGTGCCCGCTCATTCTCAGGGTGAGAGGCCCTTACAAATCTGGACGGTCCTCTATGAAGGGTAGGAGGGCGGCCTTCCCATCAGGTGTGACCAGGCACGCTGGAGGAGCTCTCTGCCCCAAAGGATTGCCTTTGTTTTTTCCCTGCTCTACAATTTTATGTAAAATTTCCATCTTTGAAGTTATGCCTTTGATGCATGGTATTCTCAGAAGGTTTCCGTTAAAATGCAATTCCACTGAGTCTGAGAGGGGGGCTGGGAATAAAAGTGAGCCTGGGTGACCCAGAATTCACAACTGCCTCAGTTTGGCTCAGAGATTTTTAAATAAATTATTATGGAGTGTTTAAAATTTTGAGAGAGGCCCCCTAAAGTCCCATATTTCTGGTCTCTTTTGGAAACCAGAATACCTGGCAGTAAGAGGTTTGTGCGGGACTTCTGGGGACTGTGAATATAGATTCCAGGCAGCTTGCACTCCAACTGTGGATGGATTAATTGCTAAATAAAGAATGTAGTTCCTACCTGCCTGTTGCCATGGAGACACAATTGCAGGCAGGTGGACACACTCATTTGGAAGGCACATAAGTTCTTCATTTTGCTGCGGTCTCTACTATTCCCTATTACCTCTTGCTACTATAGCTGTTCCAGCTTCTTTTCATCATAGTTCTGACACTGTTCTAGTTCATTCCTTAGTTTTCTTTTGCTTATATATAGACTTGTTCTGCATAGAGTCAGATCCTTATTCTATCCTGTCATTGAGGATTCAGGAGTAATCAAATTAAGGTGGCATGAGGGTTGGGAATTTGAATCCATAGTGATTCTGTGGGAGAAAGATCTGTTGATCTTCTTCAACAAAGACTTCAGGCAAGAAATACCTCTGGAGTATTCTAATACATCATATGGGGTCACTACAGTTGGAATTGACTATGGGACAGTCCCCAATACCAAAGAGACAACTTTTGCTAGATTAACTACCAAATAGTAAAGCTGTGAAAAATTGGGATTTAGAACTGTTAATTTAAAAAAAAAGTCATTCATTTTTGTTGAAAATACACAGCAGAATATATATCAATCCAATTGCTTTGATTGCACTGGTTCTAACACACTGATTATGTTCTTCAAGGTATGTAACCACTCGCAAGCCTTTTTTCCATGACTTGTTTCCTCCATGTTAGCATACATTCACTGTTCCCCAAACTTCCTATCTAGCCTGTGGAGCTGCTCTATCCGTTTGTTTCCAAATAGACAGTTCTTTAACAGAGTATAAGGCGCAAGGCAGACATTCTTTACTATTAAAGTGAGACTATCTGGTTTAAAGAAGACTTCAGGGGATATATTTAATTTTATTAAAGATTAACCTCAGGCAGTATTGTTTAAAAGATTAACCTCAGGATTCACTCAGTCTCTTGATTTTAGAAAACTTGAATTTCATGACTATTTTCTTTCCTGTGTTTTATTCCCTTTTGATTCGTATTCTAAAGGATTAGTCAGAAGTTCACTCATTGTCACTGGCACCCTCTAGTTCCACCGGTCTCAGAAAAAGGATGAAGTTCATCAAAGCCATTCTTCTGGACTCTTCTTCACCTGCTGCTCCAGATGACAAGGGACTAATAGTACATTGGATGCTGCTGGCACGATAACATGACTCGGGAAACACTATGAACTTTGATAAATGTCGATAGTTGTAGAGGGGCTTCAGACCTTTTGTTCATAGGGTCACTATGAGTTGTGCTCGACTCAAAGGCAATCAACAATGACAACAACAACAACAAGCACTACCTACTGAACAAGGAGGTGGAAAAGTGAAGCACGAAACACAATGGGATGTACCATGAAGCCAGGGCCTTATACCTCCAAATCCCATAAAGCGTCTAGCTGTGCAGAGCACCTTACAGTCAGAGACTCAACCTCACTGTCCTGAAGCCAGTTCCGACTCACAGCTGACCCTCCATCAGTTTTCGAAGACATGGAAGGAGACAGGCCATCTCTCTCCTATGCCACTAGGGCTCCCTAAGTACCTCAGCAGCTGCTTGTAAAAAACAATTGTCTATCACTCAAGAAAGGTTCATTAAAAGCACACCACTTACTGACATCCGTAGCATTAAGTGACTGTGTGACCATTACCTTTAATCAATGTGAATTTTCCATCATCATAAACAGAAACTATGCTTTTAACTAGGAAGCAGGGCACAAGTGGGGAGGCTAAGAAAGAATGTCAGGGTAGCAAGAGCGACAGGGCAGAAGTCTCACCTTTCTATGAGGGAGAAGATATTTGTCAAAGACAAGCTTTCATCTTGCACCTCACCTTAGTAGTAATTTTTAATTGTGCCTGGCACACATGTGTTTTTATTTACTCTTGTGCTCTCTAGTAGATAGTAGTGGGCATCCCAAAGGTTTATAAAATTAATGGAGGACATAATAGTGACAATATTCCCTCTCTCCTCCCTCTGCTGAAGAACTGTAAGAATCATTACTTGATTCTTTGGCCACCACTTATGAGGATAGAGAGGGCAAAATCCATGTCAGCTCATGCCTCTCTGATGGGCAAGTTTGTCCCTAAGAGAAGGGAGTGATCCCTGCCTCTTCTTTGCCATGGAGGTGGCACAGGAAGGAGGGTGGACACAGAAGTGTTACTTGGCTCTGTCTGGGGCAGCAGAAATGGGATTTCTCATCTTGCTTGGAGAGCATTCAGTGAGCAAGAAATACTGAGAGAATTGGAACCCATCAGAGGAAAATGAAGCCTTCACACAGATCCAAGGATGGCATTGCAAAGGAATCGCCAAAGCACTAAATCAATATTTGGATAAAGGAGAGAAAAAAAATCTGCTTACCAACTTCAAACAGTTTGGTGGCATTAAACTCCTCACTTCCCGCAAGCAAGCTCACTTCGGTGGCCGCTGTCCTGAAGGTGTCTTCAATTCCTGTACAGAGACAAAAGCTCATTTTCCCCCGGCTCTATGGAAAAAGTCAGCCCCTTCCCCTCCAAAAAATTAAAAAAACAAATACACCTGAACAAAGCCTTTCTTGTATTCATTACCGCTCCCTGGCAGGAACATGCCAGCAGAGGAAACAGTAAAAAGCAGGTAATAGAACATAAAATATATGAAAACCCCAGATACCATTGGCAGCATGAAATCATATCCAAATGTGCCTGAAAGAGCTGAAGGAACTCACTCACCAGGCTGGGGGATGGGTGTTGGCTGGGAGGACATGGGGCAGGGTGACTGCCTGGTGGTATCAGGGTGACAAACCAGGCTAGAGTCAGTAGCACTGCAGTTGTCTTTGCGAGCTAAGGTTCAAATCACCCTAGCTTTGTGGCCTTGGACAAACAATTTCATTTTTATGTGTGCTTCAATTTCCATATCTCTAAAATAAGAAAGGGTGCTCTGTTAGCATAGTGGTAAGGAGCTGGGTTGCAATCCTAAAGGTCCGAGGTTCAAATCCCCCAGCTTCTCCACAGGAGAAAGATAAACAATCTCCTCCTGTGTGACTAAACTGCTTCTGAAAACCTGCTAGAGGGTCAGCTCTGAGTCAGCTCTGACTCGATGGTACACAACGACAAAATGACCCACTTCAACAAGTTAAATATAAAAAAAAGCACTAGGAGAAAGAAGTAAATGATCTGTATTAGGCGGTAATTTCCCCTTTGTCTTTGTCTATGTCTAGTTCACTCTGAGGATGCAGCAGTCCATAGGCAACACAGGAAAAGATGAGATATTGCATATTCTAGGACTTTTAGGACTACCCATAATGCTCTAGAAGAAGGTGGGCTTCCATTATTTGCTCTGAAGAACAGGACCCAGCTTGTATCAACGTCTCCCCTTGCCCCACTGCACCCCCCACTCAGCTTTCTTTACAGAGAGGAATGATAGGCAACTAAAAGGAGCCCTGGGTATTGTGTACGATGTGTTGCGCTACAAATTGAAGGATTGGCAGTTCAAATCCACCAGTTTCTCCATGGGGGAAAGATGAGAGATCTCTTCCTATAAAAAGTTTCAGCTTGAGAAATCCAATGGAGGGTCAGTCTCTCTAAGTCAGAATTGACTTGACGATGACGAGTGAGTGCAAACTGAAGCAGAAAAGAAGTACTGTGGGACATGGAGCCTTCACTGTAGACATTTGGTCTCTTTGTTGAGCACAAACTGATGTCTTATAAGGGTTTGGTTTCTTCTGACTTTCTTTAAAGACTCTTCAAGCATATTTTTAGGGTGAAATAGGGGGTGAACTTTTCACACTATAATCTCTTTAAGGCCTGCAAGCCCTTGTCTGCCCCATACTTTTTTTTCCAAGTTTTCAACAATTTAATTTTGCTTGGTTCCATAATCAATACCCATGGCAGGAGGAACCAAGACATCAAAAGATGGACTGCCTTGAGAGGATGTGCTCTCAAAGACCTCCGCAGAGTTCTAGAGAGCAAGGAGGTCAGGTGGTTTTGGTTTTGTTTTTTTTAAAACTGGTATTAAAAAGTTCATATACATTGTGTTTCACACGATTCTTCATTCACATTGTGTTTCAAACAACCATTCTCATGTATTATGTTTTATAAACTTAGTCGCCATTGAACCTTGCCCATCATTACCTCGTCTTTTCACTCGGATCCTTCCCATTTCCTTTGCCCCCTCCCTCCACCACCAACCTGTGCAGCCCTGTGGTTTGAGCAAGGGTGGAAATCAACAGAGTCCACTTCCTAAGAAGAAGCACAACTGGAAATTGTTCACGCTCCACACACAGGAGCCCTGGAAAGCTGGAATGGCCAGGACTGGGGTCAGAAAGGATGCCAGGAGGACAGGGACAGGAGAGGTGCATGCACAAACAGGACGAGGCAGGTGGATTTCGGTACCTCTCCAGGGGAAGGGTTTTCCCCCTCTGCCACCATTTTAAAGGATTCCTCCTGGCTTGATTCGTGTGGCTTGTCAGCCACAGGAACTGAATGGAAAAAATAATACCTTTGAATTTCTGAATTTTGAGTACAAACATTCAAAACTCTTCTGATTCTTCAGGACCTCCTTTATCATCAACTTTTCTATTTCCTCCTTCTGCTCCTTCTCCTCCGATTTCTCCTCCTCCTCCTTTATGTTTGTCTTCATTTTCTTCTTGTCTTCCTCTAACTGATTTCTACCCAGGCAGACCTCACTTATCCCACCAGTCCTTCCAATGGCTTCAGCTTCTTCATGATGACCGTGAGAGAGATCAGAAAAAGCACCGCCACTTCTTACACTTCACCACCACTTTCTCCATAGAGCCCTTCTGCTAACATCCACATTCATGCTAATCTGGTCTTCCTCCTTTTCCTCATGGGCCTCTTTGTGAAGCACTTCTTCCTAGTTTCACATCTTGTCCCAGGGAATTTAAAGCAAAGGGTCATCCCAGTGATGTTAAAATAGAGGGTCTAGGGGATAGAAAGATGAAGTCTATAGAGTGGAGGGTCAAGTTTTCTTTCTCTGAAATTTCCTTCAACTGAACAATTTTGGGGTGTGTGGTTTTTTTGGAAGAGCCACAGATATTATTTTGGGCTGGCTGCCTCCTAACAAGGAAGAACACAAAGCAAATGTAATGAACCAGATAATAAATATCTAAAGGTTTATGGATCACATATGGTTTTGGCTGTATACTCGTCTGCTCCGTTCAACAAGCTTTTAGAACGCACGGGCCATATAAAAGCAGACCAAGACTGACCCATCGGCCACAGTTTGACAATCCTTGCTACACATAATCACAATGATTTTTTTTTCTTTAAACCCCTACTGTGGTTTCTTATTAAATTTGCAATTTGTGTGTGTGTGTGTGTTGTTGTTGTTTTGGGTGAAGTTTTGTTTTGTTTTCTAAAACTAACAATAGAGTATAGGAAATAATTGCCAAGTTGTTCTAGTTTGCTTTCTTAGAAGCCTTTGACAACATGCAGGCATTGCAGGCAGGATTAACTGTGCAGTCTTTCACTAGATGTCTGCTAAGGCTCTCGTCCTACCTTCCTTATCAGACCATGAACATCTAGCTCAATGTCCTCTTCAAGACACAAGCAAATGTACATCAAAAGCTCATATGAACCAGATCTCGCCCTTGTTCTCAGCAAGTTCCATATGATCTTGTCTCCTAGGTCACGGCTACTGCAAATGAGCATAAGACTCAGGAAATGCATCTTTTAAATTCATTCCGCTCATTTCTTATCTTTTTTTCTCTCACTCAAGCAAGAAGTCTTACTATTGGGATGGCTCTCATCTCAAAGGTCAGCTCTTATAATTTCGAAATATAAAGTAAGAGCTTCCTCTTGAACGCATGGCCAGCTTGCATACACCCACCTGGGCAGTTCGGGTGGTCACAAGTCCTCGATTCTGTCGCCGTGCAAGCGTAGCCACAAGATCGGGTCCGCTTCTGGTTGCCGTTCCCACACGTGACGCTACAGACAGACCAGAGACTCCAGTCACCCTCACCATCTGTGGAATCTGGAAGGGAACCAGGAAGACAGTCATCAGCCTTCCCTGTCAAGCAGCGAGTGAGTTCTCCACGTCCATCATCTCACTGTTGGATGTGGCCGGATGCCAGCTACAGACAAACAGCCTACAGCTCTAGGGCTCAGCTTCATTAGGGAAGGAGCCCTGGAAGGCACTGCAGAGATGAGCACATGGGCTAAGACCTGCCCCCTAGCACGTATCCAATATTCGTTGAGAGTTATTATAGTTGCAAAGCGTGGGATTGTGGAATAACATAGGGGAGAGTTTCCAAAGATGACCACCCCTCATTCCTTCTCATAAGACCGAGGGTCTGTTTTCCCTTCCCTCCACTGTGGGCTGGCCTTGTAGCTTACTGGAATAGAAAGCAATGCTCTGCTAGTTCTGAGTCTAAGCCTCGATGGGCATGGTAGCTTTTACCTTTGGCTCTGAGGAATCCTGTGATTGTTAAAGAGACTTGCGGTAGACACTTGTGAGTAACAGGACAGCACAAGGAGGGGAAGCCTCTTGAAGAACAGGCATTAGCCATGTGCATGAAGCCTTCTTGAACCTGACAGCTAGACTGACCTAGGCAATGCCGGGAGCGAACAGAGGAGCCGCTCACCCTGCCTGAAATCCCTGGCTGCAGAATCACACTTGTAACAGAAATAAACTACTGTTGTTTAAAGCACATTCGGGAATGATATGTTGTCCAGAAAGAAAAAAAAATATATGTATAGATAGATAAATAGCATTAAGGCTACGAACGGCTTTTTGGTCATCACTCAATATCCATCCACAGAACCTCTACCACCTGAAAGGCTTACAGCTCCTCCCCACTCCCCCTGCCCCCAAAGAAAGGTTTCAGTCACCGAAACTCTATGGACACAATGGCATCACCAGCAGTCAGAACCGACACACGGCAACTAGTCTTTTACTATCTCCTAGGCACGTGTGACATTTCTGTTGTTATCATGAGGTGTCATTGGGTTGACTGTACCTCTCAGTGACCCCATGAACAGCAGCAGAGCTGAACCTGGCCCTATTCTGTGCCTTCCTCACCATCTCTGACAGGTTTGAGCCCACTGTTACAGCTCCAGTGACAAACTGTCACTGTGTCAGTCCATCTTGCGGAGGGTCTCCCGCGCTTTCTCTGATCCCCCACCTTTCCCAGCATTATGTCTTTTCCAAGAACCAGCCTCTCCTGACAACATGCCCAACATATGTGAGTTGAAGTTTTACCACCCTCGCCTCTAAGGAACGATGTGGAATGTCTGATAAAGATCCAATTTATATTTACCCACTTCCACTAATTGTTTTCCTAGAAGTGACATTTTCATGGAAAGACACAGAAGGTAATAAGAAATGTTAAACGAGTGAGTTAACTAGGATGTTAGAAGCTGAGGAGAAATATGAGCTAAGAAAAAATTAGATCAGGGTAGTGTGACCTACAAGAGTAAGAGGTGAGAGAAAGGTTGGCTCCTTATGGTCACTTGGAATGACTGAGTGACTTGCCCAAGATCACACAGGTAACACAAGGGGAAATTTAGGGTATGGTACTAATCCCTTCATGGCTAAAGTAGAACTCCTGCGGTGCCCCTGCTGCGTAATCTTGTCTTCTGGTCTACCCAAAAGCTTCTCTAGCCCCAGGGCCTCTACTAATGCCAAGCACAGAGCAATAGGCCTGTGCCTTACCGGGAAGGGTACTCTTCTTACTCATTACAGGTTGTGATTGTTATTACGTAGGCCTGGTAAGAATGCCGTCCACACATGTTTCAACCTGAACCGTGGGCCCCGGGCCAGACTTGCTGTTTACACGGCGTTCTCTCAGAACACTCCTCAGGCAAAAGCAGCAGAAGAGAAGCCTCTTCAGCCCATTAAACAACGTCAGCAGGAGATTCATGGCTGTATCCTATTCCCTAAGCCTGAGGGGAAAGTGCGTCTCAGGCTTCCCTCCGCCAGGAGCTCCATCCACTTCTACCTTCTCCCAAAAAAAGAATTTTTCCGAAATTCATTTAAGAAATGATTTTCCAACCACATAGCCAAAGCAGCTGTTTGAAACTATTGCCTTATGTGCGGGAGTTGGGCCTGCTTCTCCAGCGTCAGCCTCCTTCACCTCGTTGCCACTTCTCAACAGGCATCAAGGCATCGGAGCTGCAGAGACAAGGAGCTCCCGAGGCAGGAGCAGTGGTTTTGCTCTCTGAGACCTGCCCAGTCCTCACACCAACCAATGGTTGTCTTAAGACCCACAGAGAAGTGGCTGGAACAATCTCATAATCATACCCTTGTTAGTATGAGCTGCCATGGACGCTACACCACACACACAAACACACACACACACACACACACACTCGATTCACTCGACCACATCATGAACATGTGACTGAGGTCAGATTTTGTTCAGAGGAATGACAACAAAAATAGTCCTAAATTAAGAGTATAAGATTTTAACCTTATAAGAAGAGGGAAATGGTAAGTCATAAAGTCTTCACACCACCTTTGAGGTGGGACCAACAACAACAACAACAACAAAATCACAGAAATAATTGAGTGATACCAAGCATCTTGCTTTGCTCAGCTAGGAGCCAAGGAGCCCTGACCGTCCAGGAATCTCTTGTTGCCTTTCCTCCCTGTTATAGAGACATAGAGAGCGAGTTTAGGGAAATGTGGTTGTGGTTAGGTGTCTTCAAGTCGACTATGACTCGAGTGACCTTAGGAACACCAGATCTGAACCTTGTCCTATCCTGCATGATCCTCACCATCTGTCATGCTCAAGGCCATTACTACAATCACTGTGTTAGCCTTGCTCTCCTTCTCTGACCTTCCAGCTTTCCCAGCACGATGTCTTTTTCCAAGGACTGGTTCCTCCTGAGAATATGTTCATAATAAGTGAGATGAAGTTTCATCCTCTTTGCCTCTAAGGGGCACTCTGTTTGCAACTCCTTCAAGATAGAATTTAGTATTAAACTACATGCATCCATATGAACATTGGGTTGGAATCTTTGCAATGAAGTCATTCCTTGTTTGTGTTTCTTGGAATGAAGCAATTAAATGTTAATACTGGGGCATACTGTTTGAAACATGACTTCCATAAGTCCTCTCCCCGTATTCCTCCCCTCTTAGTAATTCCACTCCCATGCTGATCCTAGGCTGCCAGCAAATCTGAAGCAAGCCGAGGCTTGAAAAGTGCTTGCACAGCCATGTCTGTCTTCCCAAGCTCTTGGAGCTTCTTCCTCCATGGTGTGAAAAGCCCAGGCTAGCTTTCTGGAGAGCCAGAGGCATGTGGAGAGGCCCCAGCCGACTGGACATCCCAGCGAGATCCCATCATTGTGAATGTGGCCATCTTGGGTCTCATGCAGGCCCAGCCACTCTCACTTAGCCCAGCACCACAGTCCAGGCCACCCATGGCATCAGGAGAGAGGTTCGCTTTGTTGTTTTAAGATACTGAACGTTGAGGGGAGGCAGCTGCTGAGTGGCAGAAGCTACCTGTTACAAATACACTAGGCACTTCTCCCTAGAGCTACCTGTCCTAATGGGGACCAGACTCAGGAACCATCCAGGATTTGTCAGCCCAGTAAGTAGCCTTCATCATATCTTTGTTTAAATTCACACAGACCTTTTCCCCCCAAATAATGCTTTGTTGTTGTTCTGTGCTGTCAGGTCACTTGTGACTCAGAGCGACCCTATGCACAACAGCTCTGAAGCCTGCCCTGTCCTAAGCCAGTCTCACTGACTCTGACACATTTACCCTCATGGCCCCAGTTACTGTGTCAATCCATCTCACCGAACATCTCTGTAATTATGTGGCTAGTCATTCCCATTGAAACTAGCAAGTATCTGACCTTGGGAGAAACATGTATGTCAGCCCACAGTCTGAAAACTTCCGCACCATTCTAGCTCAGATGAATATTGAAGTAAAGATGTCCCCTTAGAGATTTTCTGTTGGTTTAATGTGATTAGTGGACAGAAGAGAATTTCTAGGTGCTAGATAAAGTTTTGGGGGTGATACTGCTTTCTCACTATCACAAGCCTGCTCTCATCTCCCGCTGACCAGGGATCTCCCAGTGACCAGGGAAATCATTGCTTAGAGCAGAAAATCAATGGTAACAGTTATCACAAAGATAATAAAGGTGACAGTAAAATGAAGTCCCTGTGAGCAGCTGTATGGTGTGATGTGACAGCCCCTCTCTGAGACATCTGTGACTGTAACATTGGACTCAGGCGTATCAGAGTGGATGAGGATGGCACAGGACAGAGCAGGGTTCAGATCCACTGCTCACAGGGTCGCCATGAGTCCTAGTCGACCCAATGATACATGACAACACCTGAGACATCAAAGGGCTCAGTGAGAGAAGAAAGCAGTCCTTACACAATGGGCTGAATGCTGGGTTTTGATGGTGCCACCTGGAATGTTAAAGTGTCAGGAAACTGGAGTTCTGTGAGGCAGTTAAAGTATCAGGGCAACTGAAGTGACCTGGGTCTTGGCTCATGCTATAGGCAAGCTTCCACCATTTATCCCATGGCTACAACTGATACAGAAATTGCACAGAAATTTCCGCACTCTCTCTATGCGCCACCGATTAATGTCCTCTAACAGTCCCGCCGGTAAGTGGAAACAAACTTCTTTTAGTAGTTTAAACATTAATAGAGTGTTTTGACAGATGCTTGCCAAAACCTCTTCATTCTAGACAAACAGAATCCATTGCCCAGCATGCCTTGCAACTGGGATCAGGCCATACTGATTGGTCTCGCCCAGAGAATTGTTCAGATGTGCTGTGGCCCCTCTGGCAGGGATGGTTCTGACCATGTATGCTCCTTTTCCTCAATTCCTCTACTTCCTTGGCTAGGTCAGATACATAGGGAGCTGTGGTGGCCTAATGGCAAAGAGCTGAGCTGCAATCCTGAAGGCACGCTCTTCAAGGCAGCTCCATGGCAGGAGGATGGACAATCTCCTCCTTTGTGATTACTGCCTCTTGAAAACTCACTGGAGGGTCAGCTATGGGTCGGTTCTGACTCAACTGTAAACAACAACAGGTCAGATACTCATCAGATAAGACTCAGACTCGGAAGGTAAGTAGCACTTCATATGGATAAATCCTGGGCTCCTGAATGACTGAGTGGAGCTGAGCCCATCCTGGCCTGTCCATCATCCCAATTTGGGTGAGATTAAGCCTTTACGACTTTATGTTACTGAATTTGGAAGTTGGGTTGCTACTTCAATTATCCTACTATTAATACCGGGGAATGGAAACTCCCAGCTTGGGCTCTTGAAATGTATTAAGTGGTGTCTTAATGTGATACACATGCTCACAGAGATTCCTGAGAGACCCACTTCTCCACGCCCTGCCAATATCAAACAGAGCAGTGCCTCAATAAAGGAAACAGCTGGATGTGCTGCATTTATGAACTTGATTTTCAACATGAATATTTATAGTCAGAAACCCAAGCAAGGTATATTGGTCATTTCGTTTTTAGAAAAAGAACTAATTTCTTAAAAGGCAGAACTCCAAAGACCCTTAACTAGAAAAAAAAAAATCTCTCCCAGGATAATTGGTATGATTTTAAAATTATAGTCTTTCCAGAAAAATGTGGCTGCTGGTGCCTCACTGGGGCTTCTGTGGAAGAGAGTCCTTCTGAAGTATGCTTCAGAGAAGACCAAAAGCCACATACTATAAACTGGGTTTTGCTTGGCTCCACGTCCTTTAGGCCTCATCATCCTCCCCACTAATTTTATAATACTGGGTGGTAAACTCACCATACTCTGGCTGCTCTTTGGTTTCAAAAGTCCGGTGGCCTGGGGCCGGACGGTCCCACACCCTGGGAGGGTTGAGGAAGTTGCTGTCGTCTGAGGTACTGTCATATCTGTAGTCCTGATCCCCGCTGTTCACCCTTGCCAAGGACAAGGACCTCTGCCACCAGGCCCGCCAGTCGGGGGATGGGACTGACCAGCTGGGCGGCTTACTCTCTGGAGGCTGGTCTTTCTCTGCTTCAGAGTCAGGACCGTCGACCACTTCTATGGTGACCTGAAGAATTCAGAACACGCCAGAGTCAATGAGGAGCCAAAAGTGTCCAAGCTGCACGATCTCTGCAAGCAAGTCTGACAGAGCAGAGGGAGTTATGGCTGTGTCCCTTGGGAAGGAAAGCATGAATCATATGGTGATAAATGGGAAACGTCCAGGTATGGCCCCGATGAGTTCTAGGACTAGACAGACTGAAATGAATGGACTTTGGGGAGGGGAGTCAGTATTCTGTCATCAGCATCTCTGTTTTATTGATGACTAAATTACTAGGAAACCTTTAATTCAGAGAATAAACATGTACAAGTTATGTTCTAAGCTCTGGCAGGCTACTCTGTAGCCAGCTGTACTGCTAATTCAAAGGTCCCACACATCTCTCTGGTGGTTCAAATCCTCGGGAGAAAGATGAGCAATCTCCTCCCATGTGATTTTTTTGAAGCTGAATTTACTTGCTGGCAATTAGAGGTTGATTTAGGACCTTCAGGAACCTGAACACGGAAAAATAATAATAATAAAGCCTAACATTTATTGAGTAATAGCTATGTGTCAGAAAGCTGGACAATGACTAGGGATGATAGTAGGAGAATTGATGCCTTTGAGCTGTCGAGCTGGAGAACAGTATTGAATATACCATGGACTGCTAGAGGTACAAACAGATTCGTCCTAGAGAGGATGAAACCAGGCTGCTCCTCGGAGGCAAGGATTCTGAAGCTTCATCTGACATACTTCGGACATGTTGTAAGGAGGGACCAGTCTCTGGAGAAGGACGTCATGCTTGGGAAGGTGGAGGGACAGCACAAGAGAGGAACACCCTTGATGAGATGGATTGACTCAGTGACTGGGGTAATGGGGGTGGGTGTGTCGGAGACAATAAGATTGGCACAAGATAGAGTAAGGTTTAGGCTGTTGTATATGGGGTCGCTATGAGTGCAGGTGACTTAATGGCACATAACACACACACACACACACACACACACACACAGTTCTGTACCAGTCACCATTTAAATATATTAATTTACTTAATCCTCTTAAAAACTTATAAAGCTAATATTGTGTATTGACTCCAGTGGTCAATAATCTGCCAGAACAGTGCCAGCAATCACCATCATTCTCGTAGGTACAGAACAATCTTCCCATTAAGAGATGGAGTCTATCTTTGAATATGGGTTTGTCCTGTGACTTGCTTTGCCTCAGAGAATGTTCTGGGAATGACATTGTGTGACAAGCTTTTCAGTTTTCATTTTCAATTTCTTTTTAGAAAGGAGAATTCCTATTTGGAATATGAGGAAATCCAGCCTAGACTATTGCACAGAGAGTGAAAGAGGCAGCATTGATAAGAGCTGGGGCACTTGGCCCTTCAGCCAATGGTCAGCTCCATCCAATGCTCCAGTCATGTGAGTGGGGCCATCTTAGATCTTCTATAGAAATTTAGCTACAATGACAACAAAACAACATAGAGAGAGCTCTGTTGGCCTAGTGACTAGAAAGTGATGTTACCAAGCCAAAGGTGGGTGATTTTAGTCTGCGGCCCTCAGGCCTGGTTTTAATTGTTTTTGGTCAAACATTCTTCTAAGTGGCATAGTCTGGCCTATCCACTTGCTGTACAGAGGTAACTTGTGGTTGCTGTGATGCTGAACACTGTGACACTGATTTGTCAAATGTGATAATGGTTACCCATGGCAGACAGTGTTTGGTGGAGTCCCTGATTAAAACACGCTTAGAAGCAGGAGTGGCAACCACTTCTGAAAGAGCTTGCCTCTGGAAACCCTATGAACTTGGAGAAACAATGAAAGTTATACAAGTGTTCAGGTCTTTTGTTCATAGGTCGCCATGAGTGGTCTACAACTCTACAGCACTTAACAACAACACCACAGAAATTTGAGTCAGCTCAGCAGTACCACATGGGACAGAAACATGTCCTTCAGCTGAACTATGTTCTAATTCTGAGTCACAAAATCATAAGCAATAACATCGTCATTGCTTCAAGTTTTGCAATGATTGTTAATAAATAATGAATAGCTTGTCACAGCCATGGGAAAGGACCACATAGATATGAATAACTTGCTTAATGTCACAGTAACAGACTTTGGAAAGGCTGCACGCTGCTAGGTAATAGACTTAGGAAGCCTGTCTCCAGAGTTCATGCTCTTGTTAACTTTGCCACACTGCCTCTCAAGAAGGTAGTGCGAGACCTACTGTTCTTTCATGAAACCTCGGGATTTAATCGTCAGAGACGCTGCTGGGGAGCTGGAGAGTGCTCTGTTAAGGCTGCATACGATACAGCGAGTAAACACATGGCGTGTAAGCAAAGACTCCTCAAGATCTGATTTTGACAGCTACAGTTTTAACTCATCAAGTAGCCCAGGCCAGGCCCAAAATGGTGGACTCCTTAAGTCAACCCTTAGGACCAAAGTAGGTAGTCCCTAAGCTAAGGTTGGAACTTGTCCTCAGATTTATGCATCTAATTGGAGCCTAATTTTGAAGTCTGTTATGTGGTTAAAGGAATGCAACTTGTTGGCTCCAAAAGACAATCAACGAAGAGAAACTTGTTTTTTAAAAATACAATAAAAGACTCATTGGGCTCATTTGGCCATCATATAGCTCTTGCAATACCCCCTGGATGAGTTATGTGTAAATGAATCAGAAACACGCGATCCAAGTAATCAGCGCAAGATGTACTGGGCAGATGTAGCCCCGGTGTTGCCCCAACCCGATGTCTGAGAGTTGCTGAGAGGCTCTGCCAAATTGCCCTTGGGTGTGGCCATCCCACAGCCAAACAGCCCTTTCCTTTAGAGTGAGGAATGGGAGGGTGAGATCCAGCTCACTTTGACCTTCAAGAAAGTCACCAACTGATGGGAGCCCAGTTTGTTCCCCTGGGTTATCTTATGTGACCATGGTCAAATGCATGGCTTTGACTCAGAATCGAAAGGGTCTTCAGTCCCAAAATACACTTAGCCCAAAGCAGATCAAGTACATCTTCCTTTTCTAGTCTTTGATGCCTGCAAAAGCACCACACTTTATCTTATGCCACTACCATTATCTCAGCCTCTTGTGTATTTTATAAATAATCATTGAACTTTTTAGTGATCACTAAGGAGGAAAGGATGAGGAAGCAAACAAAAACATCTTGTGTCAATGCTGGTTGCGGGAACCGACGGTTGTGGAGAGGTGGTGACTGGCTCCTACGTGCAACCCTGAAACGCCAAGTGCAGCAGACCTGTGCAGTGGGCAAGGGACAAATCAATGCTGAATCTTTGCAAACACAACCCTTCTCCTTTGCTAGCTTGTCCTCCTCTGCCTGCAGACAGAACTGAGCTCAATAATCATCTGCAAAGCTATTAAGGGTCTTAGAGGGGAGAGGCTGTGGAGAGCCAGGCAAACCTGCAATTATGGTAATGAAATCAGTCTCCGGGTAGGAGATAAGGGGGAACACCCCCCCCCCAACAGTTTTGGTATTTCATTTGTGTTCATACTGGAGTCAAGGGGATTGCCTAAACAAAACACAGCCTGCAATTTCTTCAGCCTAGGAATAAAAACAATTTCATGTTTCAAGCTCTTACCGTCAGTACGATTTTTTCCTCTCAAACTGCTGCTTAGATCCAAACAAAATAGATTTGTTGCCTGGCCAGGCAATGAGTAGCAAACTGTGGGTTTACTCCAAGAGCTATATCAATGACTACATCTCAACAGCTTAGAGGTTTCTTTTTCCCATTTAATTTTTTTAGCCACTGCCCCAACTGCATCGAAACAAAACAAGCAAGCAAGCAAACAAACGAGAAACCCTCTTACAGTTCATCCTTTTCTAGAATTAATGGTGTGGAGTCCTTAATCTGCTATGAAAAGAGATTCATAGACATCCAATGAACAAGTTAATATGTATGATTGCTGACTTCTAAAATGATGGAGATTAACTCATTCTAGACTTGTTGTTGTTGTTGTTATGTGCCGTCGAGTCGCTTGCGACTCATAGCGACCCTACGTACAACAGCCCTAAACTCCGCTCTGTCCTGTGCCAATCGCACTGTCTCTGACACTCCCATCCCAATTATCCCAGTCACTGAATCAATCCACCTCATAGAGGGCCTTCCTCTCCTGCGCTGTCCCTCCACACTCTCAAGCATGATGTCCCTCTCCAAGGACCGGTCTCTCCTCACAGCATGTCCAAAGTATGTTAGACGGAGCCTCAGAATCCTTGCCTCCAAGGAGCCACCCGGTTTAACCCTTTTCAGGACAAATCTGTTTGTTTTCCTAGCAGTTGTTTAAGCCAAAGAATCCTTCCAGAAAGATGTCTCGAGTGATAATCACTGTGTTGAGCTGAGGGGGGTGTGTGTGAGCACAACATATTTCCAAACTGACGAACACTCCAGATCTTACAGGCTTTCTCATACTTGAGACATATTATTGAAGTGTCAGGTTTGTTTATTCTAGACTTTCTAACACTATGAAAACAGACAGTTTAAAAAAAGGAGGAGGGGAGACTCTTTTAAAAGCCTCAAGTCCAACTCTTGGCAAAGTTTTCCCAGACCTAAGGAAGAAAATCCAACGTTGGTGCTAAACATGAATTCTGTCTAGAATCATGAGGTGAGGATAAGGTACCTAGCTTCTTTCTTTCTCTTGATACTTAACACATTTATAAGAACCAACCCCCCACCCCCCACTCCGTCCTCTGAGAAGCATTTTCTGTGGAGAAATAAACAGAATTCTCACTCCAATGGATACTATGCACATGGAGGTAAGAATACGAAAGCCACACATGTTTCTCAGAAGACCTCAAGCCTTGTGAGCAGCAACTGTGGGGCTAGTGGTGTTTGGTTGGTATTTCCCAGAGAGGAAATTTAGTGCTGGGGCCAGAGGGCGGGGAGGTAATTTCCACAGCAGCATACAGCCTCCTGGCTCTGGAAAACCCTCTCTTGAGAAGGTTTTGTCTCAGGCGATACTAGCCCTCCTTCCTTGACAACTGGACAAGGGACATGGAATGCCCTCCTCTAAGACCCATCAGGGCTACA